GCCACCGCGCCGCCGAGGAGGTGCGCGCCGACTTCCAGCGCAGGGTGCCCTACAGCTACCTGCAGCGCGCCTACATCCAGGTGAGGCACCGCCGCGCCCGGGCGCCCCTCTCCCGTCGCCCCGAGCCCTCTCAACAGGGTTATTCCCCCACCTCGTCTCTCGCAGCGGGGGGTGGAGGATTGCCCCCAAACCCTTTCCAGGCTCCCTCCCTCCCATCTCTCCCAATGCCCTCTCCAGGGTTACCCTCTCTCCCATCATCTCAGACTCTCTCAGGTGAGTCCCCCTCATCGATTCCCCTCCTGCCCCCCAAGCTGATATTCCCACATTTCTGTCTCTCAAGCCTCCCAGATATGGTCTTCCTTCCTTTCATTGCCCTCAAGCCCACCCTGGGCTCCTCCTTCTGAGGAGGCCCAAGCTGCTGTCCCCCTGTGGCTGCAGGGACTGTGTGAGAAACCCCATGGGAAGCAGGGATGCCCAAACTTGGGCATCCAGCAGGTTGATGTCGGGCCCTTATGGGTCATTGATGTGTACAGTAAGTTTCCATGGCTCAGCCCTCAAAGGAGGGGGAGAGGCAAGTGTTCTTTGTTTTAGTGTAGAATAACCAAGTCTGGAAGTGATCTCCCTTTGGTGGAGAGTTTATGGGGGGGGTGGGGGGAAAGCCCCATGAAGCCCCCCAGTAACACCCTGATGCAAGAGGAGTTTCCATTTAGAGTAAACTGAACTGTAAAATGCTCTTTTTCCAGAGCGGAGGGTAAACATGAAGCTGAGGGGATGAATTGTTGCTACTCTGATCTGATGATCTCTGTGCTGTTCTGTTCTGTGTTATGAAATACCTTGCATGACACTGCACAGCCAGTATTCTGCAGCCACTGATATCTTGGGTATCATCCTCTTATCCCAGCAACTTCTGCCCTGTAGCATTACCCTTCCATGAAGAGAATGGTGTTATTCTTTGAACTTCTTTGCCAAAATGGGAAGAGGGGGGGAAAGATAGTTTAGGGTGGTTTTTGTTTAGTTCAAGACCTGTGCTCTGTCAAGCCAGTTACCTGTAGTAAGTCTTCCTGTTCATGACTAGTAAGAATAAACTGTGGGGATTTTAATTCGTGCTAAGCTGAATATTTAAAACACTTCTGGAACATCTTCCTTTGGGTTTCTGTTTTAAGTACGTTCCTAACCTTGTAGTTGCTATAGGCAACTGAATAGGGAGGACCTGCAGGGCAGAGCATGGTGAGGGTGGTTCTGCTGAAATCCATTTCCAGTTGGAGAAGCAAATGTCTGTCCTGGACAGTGTTAGTTCTTGCAGTGCAGTAACTTCACAGCAACAGAATATAGGAGGCAAATCATCGGCTGCTACATTTTAAAAACTATTGAGAAGTCATGGCTATGTTGTTTTTGCTGTGCTTTGTGTGCTATCCTTGCCTTAATGTCTCTCTTACAATTTGGGGGCTAGATGGAAGTTGTTTAAATTCCAGTGTACATGTCCTGTGCAGAGTTCCTGAAAGAAATCATATTCTCATCTCATTCCCAGAATTTGACTCATATGTGATCCCATTAAAGCTAGCAGAACTTTCCTGAGGTCCTTATCCTAAAAGATGCTCTGTGTAGTGTCCCCATCTATGTGCAGTGACATTCAATTTGTCATACTAAACTAAGTGATTCTTTCTGAATCCAAAGCCTTTCCCAGAGTCCCAAAGCTTTGCTTACATCAAGTTTATCAAAACTTTCCTCTGAATTAGAGGATGGGGTTAACCAATTGTTTTCCATTTCAGTAAAATCAATATAGAATAATTTTGATGCATTTTTCAGAATGATCTAGCTTCCTTTTTGGTTTCTGCTGGCTCTGAGGTTTTTCTTTTCCTAGTTTTAGAAATGTATTGTAAACATACTAAAGCAATGAGTTGAAAACAGGCTTTATATGTTTGAGTCATCATAATTTGCTTCTGCAATGTCTAGAGGCTTATTCATTTCAACTGATTTCCTACTAGCTGATTGATTAGCGGATGTTCTGTCTGCATGGATGCCTGGGTTTCAGACCTTGTATTCAAGGGAAGGTACTGACTGGGCAAAGCTATTTCCATTTTGATGTTTAACTTTAACCCTATGTGTAAGCCTCATGCTCCTGAGTTTTGGCCAGGTTTGTAAGCCAAAGTTTTCAGCATCCTTGTGCCACTGAGGAACCCGTAATGAATTGTCTCATACTCGCTCCCCTGATGGCTGAGCATGAGCTGTGTTATAAGGATTGCTCTCTTGACCTGGCTTGGTAAGTCTGTTTGCAGAAGAAAAAGTCCCCTGTTGGATTTGCCTGCACTTGCACAAAACATGAGCTGTAATGTCTAGCTCTACTGTATGCTTGGATTTGAACTATCTCCTTTTGCCAAGGCTGAGTGGATCGTTTGGCATTTTCCCTGAGGGTCAGGATGCATCTGCACACGCCCTGCACGGAGACCTCGTCAGCCGCATCTACTCTGCTTTCCCCTTGAGAAAAGGGAGCTGTGGAAGGGGGCTTGTGCTGGGCCCCCTGTGCTGCTGTGGGCAGGTTGTGCGACTCCAGAGTTGGAATAGTCTCTCTGACTGTTTGACCTCTGCTTTCTTCCTTTAACCTAACCTCATTTCCTTTTTTGTTTCAACATCCTGCTGGGTATCCTGTACAGTCCCTTTCCTTGTTGCACAGGGAAGCTTGGCTGCTGCGTACTTGCACTGGCCCCTGGTCTGAGTGGACATTGGGGGTTGATGGCATTTGTGGGTTTGAGGAGGAGGAACAGCCTGGAACATGCTTTCTAACTCCCACTCCCAGTGACCTTGCACTTTGTTTCTTGGAGGGGAGGGAGTTGTATACCTTTGGGAGGGAATTACAAGGCAAGGAATATATTAAAAAAAAAAAAAAAATTGAAGCTTGATGCTCATGAAATGATTTGAAAAATGATGCTGAATAAATGTGAGCTAATTCCCACAACGCTCCTGTGGGGTATGAAAAGCAAAGGCTATTATTGCTGTTGTACAGATGCACGGACCAAATGCTGGCCTGCTCTGTCTATACCTTGGGAGTGATTGCTTTTGGGCCAGCAGAGTGACCCAGTGCATCCCCAGAGCCAAGCTAGAAGGGCTGAGGTCTATCTTAGTTCCTGGGTCTCTCTCTAGAGCAAGTGAGCGTACTGTCTGCAGCAATCATGGTGACATGAAAATCTTTGTAGTATATTGGTGGAAAACTGATGTTAAAATTTGAAGTTTAGGACTTTCCTTGTTGCTCACTGAACTGTAGCAGTGGCTTCCCTGGGCTATATTGCTGCTCTTCCTAAGCAGATGCTCAGGATGCCCCTATAGGGAGCCCAGTGGAGGGGGAGGGAAGTGATAATATGATTAGGTTAAACATTGATCATATCCCAGTGTGAGAACATGTCCTGTTAGTCATTAAAACCCTGTCATCCTATCAGCTCCTTATGCTTTTTTCTTTTTCCTCCCTCCTCTACATACCTTCAAAGTAAAGGTCCTTTGAAGGCCACAGTGTTATTCCCCAGATATGGGGAAGGAGTTATTCTGTTTCTTGTTTTAGGCTTTGAAAATGTAAAAAGTTAAATATCATGTCACCAAAAACCCTCAGTTCAGGGTCTGCAGCATGATGTGGTGCACTGCAGGACTGGGACAGCTGATGGATTCAGCTGAAGGTTTTTATGGGCTTTGGACTTGATTAGGCCTGCAAGGTTGATTGCACTACAGAGACTTTAGACAAATTGCTTTGAACAAGCACCCCCAGTCCAAATGTGCCTTCAGGTCATCTTTGCAGCTTCCAAATATGTATTGTAAGTAGGAAAATTCTTCACGGGGAGTATTTTTCCTAAAGTAGCTGATGATTTCAGACCATCTAGAAATTACTTCAGCTAGCTGTACCCAAGGTGAGTGGGATGAGTTTTGAGAAGATGTGAAAACTAAGAAGGAGCAGGGAAGGTGATGAGACTGGGCAGCAGATAGCAGAATAAGCTTTCCAGCCCATAGATTAGGAAAAGGTCCTTCAGTGGATTTTTTTCAACATTGTGTCCATGAGCAGAAGAACAGTTTAACTTAAGCAGCTGGCTGTGCAGTGTGCTGGCTGATTGGCCTATGTCAATGAAATACCCATGAGGCTTGGCAGGTGGGCGTGGGAGGATCTCTTTGCAGTCTGAGATTTGTCTTTAATTGCATCCTCTTAGCTGTGCTGCTTTAGTCATCTAGTTGCGGTTAAAACCTAGCCTGCAGGCCATGATGTTTCTACCCCCACCCCAACACCCCTACCCAGGGGCTTTCCAGCTCTGAGAGTGAGTGGAGGAGAAAACAGCTTGCACTGTGACAGCGCTTGCTAGTTAGTTGTGAGCTGCTGACTCAGTAACCTTATTGGAGCTTGCTGTAGATAGTCTGCCCATGAGCAGTGCAACAAAGCGCAGCTTGCAGTCCTGGTGCAAGGTCTTGTGAGCCCACACGAACCCTGGTCCAAAGATAACGAGTAACTTTAAACTTGATCATTGTCAATGGCAAAACTCGTCCTTCTCTTCTATCCCACTAACCCTTCCCCTGAGTTTTCTTTCCCTTGTCTTACCTTGTTCCTATCCGTAACTTCTCATTTGCTGTGATCACTATAGCCTGTTTTCTTTTTCCCCTCTGTATACTTGTGTGCCCTTCCTGAGCATTTGTTCCCATTTTGTAAATGCTGACCTCCCAACAGTCTCATCTTCCTGCTTGTCTGCATGCCCCATTGCATGTTTGAAGCGCAGTAGGAACTGAATGTAACCATCTGATCTGTAATCATCAGCCTTGGATCTAAATAAAGGCCTTTTAGATTGTGCTTGTGTTTTAAAATAAATAAAACAACCCTACCACACATAGGGCCTTGCTCTTCTCCTAGTAATGTCAATCACTGGTGAGCAAAAGGTACAAGAATCTGAGTCAACCTTGCATATTCTGTCTTTGTCTCAGGGTCTTCCTTGCCGTGTCCAAGTTATGCTTCTATTCCTAGATGACATTATTTTCAGGATTTCATGTGCTACTAATCTAAAGCAGTAAGCTTAGATTGTCCATGTTGCGGTAAAGGCTGTTTCATAAAGCTGTTCCTTTTCTCTTTTTGTTCATCCATACTTTTTACATGCATCTTAATCCTTCTAATGATGTTGTTTGGGGAGATCTTTGACTTTGCACTGCTATCTTGCCCTGCTGGGTCTTCCACATTAATCTACTGGGCATGTCATGCCTTCAGCAGGCACTGCTGTGACTGTTTCCTTGAGTTAAGCAGTGCCCTCCTGCTAACTTGAACCACTGTCAGGTTTTTGAAGTGCAACACATGCAATAATGACTTGATCAAAGACTGTGGAGGAGGAAGAAACAAGTGGATCAGGAAGTAGAGTGGGAGCCCAAACTCACAGAAACCTCTATGATACAGATTGTCACCCTGTTCCAGTTCTGGCTTTGAAAGCTCCCTATTTATAAAAATCCAAACTCAGGGGAGGAGACCTCATATATATAAACCATTTCCACACTGTTCATTCTGTCTTCTGCCTGTGCTTCTGCAAGTCCTACCACCAACCATGCTGAGGCGTTTGTCTCTGGGGCCTTGTTGCAAGCCTTTATTAAGACATCTCTACCAAATTCTTTCCACCTCAAGTAATTACTCATTGTTTCTCTGCATTATTGCACTGGTCCAGAGTCTTTTGTCACCCTGACAGACGTCTGAAGTATCCACCTAAGAATTGTGGAATAACTCGGGATTCACACCAACAAGGTTGCTTTTGTAATTTGCACTGTCTTGCTCAACTGCTGATGTTTTCTATAAAAGTTTTACTCTGTTTTCTTTTTGCAGCAGTTCTACAGCCTTCAAACATAAGGTCCTGTCCTGAAGTGGACTGCTGCCTTGGAGAAAGGTGGTGATTTTACTTCTGGTGTCTCAGGGGTAGTGACACAGAATAATGTACAAAAAAACCCCCACTAAAATGTCTGCAGGAGCAGCCCACTGAAGTTATTTCTCATCAAAGCCACCATGTGCCCTGAGGTCTACCAGGTTGGTTGGCCTTGTTTTCATGGGACTCTTATCTCACAACCTAGACAAAGATCTGTGATAGAACTCAGATAATCATTCTGATTAGGATTATTACTATTAGAGGTGTTTGTTTTTCTCCAATTGTGAGAGCTGGTATTGCCCAGATGCTGGATAAATGTATAACTCTTCAGAACTAAGCTCTTGGAACATCTCTTTATTTAGCTTCTTCAAGAGACCATTCCTCACCAGATGGCAAATGTTAGTGCTCAGAAAGATTAAAATTAAATGCACAAAAATAAACTCAGTTTGAGATTGACCCAAACATCAAGACTCAGATTTTTCTATGTCCCTCATTCAGGCCAGAATTGAATATCCCTGCTCTTGACCTGCACTGACTTGCCCTAAATGGTGCTGCTGACTTCAGTGGAGCTCCTTGTGCATGACATATGGCTTGCTTTGAATTTGTGGGGGTTGGAGACCTGGGACAAATTCCTTCTTCCCATGATGTTAACATAGAAACTAAAAGCCTAAATTTTCCTGGGTCATGGGAGTCCTGGGCTTCTCAGAAGGGGCAGATCTGCAAAAACAGGAAGCAAGCCCATGGCTTGAAATGGTCAGATTTCTATTAATCTGTTTTCATTAATAGCAGGTGGTGGTGCCCTTACCCTCTTAGCATGGGGAGATCTTGGGGAGAGTGTCATATGACTTCCTAGTAAGGTGAACCCTATAAGGGGATCTTGCTGCAAGAGAGACTAGATACAAGGCTCTGCTCTCCACAAATATGCAGACATGGGAACCTATTGGAGGAGAGGGACCTATTTGCCCTTGATAGGGCTTTTCCTTCTTTAAAATGACTGCTACTTCCTGGTTCACTGATTTAAACACTGGAAGCACTAAGCCAGCAGTGAGAGCCCAGGGATGTGCGCGTTGTTTTCAAAGGAGACTGAGTCTTGATTTCTCAACCCCTCCCCCCCACACTCATTAATTCTCTAGGTCCAACAGGAACTAATTGCGTCCAGCCTTCAGGCTGATGTTGTACTAAAAGTTAGACTTGGTGATTGTAGTGGCTTTCCACTGTTCTTAAAATATAGCAAATCAGAAAGCAAAACTAGTGTTTGTAATTTCTGCATAATTTTTTAACTGATGATAAATGAATACAGCCCTGCTCAGCACCTCTTCAAATCAAAGATGCTTGCTTTAAGTGTAGAGTTGGATGTTGTTATAGCTTGAGTTAGGGAGATCAAGGACACATCTAATTAGTGCAAGCTGATCATAGACTTACCAAACTCATTTCATATAGGCTATTAATTGGTCATTTGATAACCAGGACTACTTTTCTTGTTTTACCAAGTTTCTCTTTCCACCTTATAGCTGTGCAGTTGTGCCCAGGCTTCAGAAGAATTGATGGCAGGTCCCAGCCTCCCATTTCTGTTTCTTGGTGGTGGCAGGGGTGAGGGGGTAGAAAGGGAAAAGTAAGTCATGATTCCTCCTTATTTCTTGTCAATCCCTGATGTTGCAGCTTGGATGATGGAGAAGACAGCACTCTAACTCATCCGGGTTCACTGAGTCTTTTATCATCTTGATCAAAAGGTATTCGAAAGCATGAGCTAGGCTGACATCCCAACATGGTCAGAAGTGCACTTATAGCACAGAAGAGCCCATTGGCTTTAGAGCAGATTAGTCCTGCTGTATTAAACTGCTTTTATTGTAACCTGGGAACCTGCCCCTTTTCTGTTCTTTTCATCCCTTTAGTTTTCCATGGGATTTCTTTGCACCTTGCTCCTCCCTTAAAGGCACTTGTCTCGTGACTGCTTCCTCTGCTGGCTGCGCCTTGGCAGAGCCCTGCTGCTGGCCTGCCCTGTCCATGTGCTGCCTCGTGCTGGGATTAAATGGCTTTTTGCATTGCCTGTTGATTCTCGTCCATACATCCTAGCAAGCTCTGCTCTGGCTTCTGGTGAGTCCTTTTGTTATCCTTGGCCACAGTCATAACTAACAGCAGCCGATAATGAACCACATGTGAATGAGCAATGCTATTTAGCCCTGCTAAGAAAACTTATGCCCCGTACTTATGAGCTGTGCCTGAGGTTTCAACAAGGATTTTTCCCATTCCCTGTTACAAGTGGTGATTTCATTGTGGATGGTGTGGGCAGTAATAAGAAACCATAAAATTAGTAACTGAGCTGCTTGCTGCCAACCTCCTAAGTATTGCAGGAGCCTTGCTAGCAGGACTCTGGGCTCGAGGTGATGCTTGACATCTGGAGCAAGGGATTCAAGGGTTATTTATCTTAGTTTTTCCTTTGGAGGTGGTAGGAATTAGTCATTGTGATTGGGTTTGTTCCTGATGCATAGGGACCCATGTACGTGACCTATTTCCATGTGTGTAGTCGGGGCTGAGATTGGACTGAGTTTAGTTACAGCTATGTGAACCTGCAGTGACCCAGCTGATGGACATGGAGTTTCTCTGCATTTACACTGGGGAAACTGAGATCAGAGTTTGGCCTCTGCTCTTTAAAAGTAACTGATGGCAGGAATGAAGGGTTGAGGTTCCTTAGATGCTTTTGTTTCTAGCCAATGTATAGGCAATAAAGGAATTGACTTATTTGTTGGACATAAGCTGGTGATGAGTAATGAAGGCAAGGGGTCTGCCTGTGTGGGAGTTCAAGCACAAAAGAGTTGTTCCCTGTCAGCCTGTACCTCTGAACCAGTCCTTCTCCTTTCCATGACAACTGGACAGTTAAACAGACCCTCCAGAGCTGACGTCAAGGGTCAGGGATTTGGCCACTGAATAATTATAGCAACAAAAATAGCATCCCCTCCCCACCCTTTCCTTCCCACATGTTCCGTCTGACTCCCGGCTCATAAATGTCCTTTTTTCCCTTTCTTGGATGGGAAGCAAAAGCCACATGTATTAGCTGGAACATATGGCAGAGGTTGGCTGCAGCCCATCAGTTGTGAAGGCCAAATGCTTGCTTGTAGCTTCTTGTTCATTTAAAAAAAAAAAAAGGGGCGGAGGGGCAGAAAAAACACGTTCTTTCAGGAACTGGATGAAAGGCAGAGTCTGTGCCCATAATGAGATGGGAAGCAGATAGGCTGCAGGACAGCATGTTGGCCGTGCTGTCAGGCTGAAGAACGTGTCCCCTCGCAACACGGAGGTGGCAGAATTGTCACTGAGAGGCAGTTAGTGCTCTGCCAGCTGCTGCCGCTCTCTGCTCTCCCCTCTGCGTGCTGATGCTGACTTGCAAATCATGTCAAGTTTGCAGGCAGGGTGCTCAGGAGTAAATAGGGCTAAGCTGTCACCAGGAGAAAGTCATTAACACCATGGACTCAGGGCAGCCAGGGAGTTTTAAATGTTGAGCAGCTATGGATGAGGAAAAACTTCTCTCTGTAGCACTAAAGGTTTTATTAAGGGGGTGAAAAGCAACTGGGAGATGGAGGAAAACCCTTGAAGGAGCAGAACATGAAGTGACAGTGCCAGAAGTGGACTCTCTGCAGTGCCAAAATGTACCTCTGTCCCAAGATTTTCAAACCAAGACCCTCACATCAGAATTTGCCACTAAACTGCCTCCCTGAAGGTGCTGAGCGATGGGGATTCCTATGGGAAATGTGCCCCCCTGAAAAGTGGGATTCAGGTCCTTTTACCATCATAGATAGGATTTGTAAAAGGTACAAATGTGAGTTTGGCTTTAGACTCATATTTCCAGTATCAAATTGCATTCTTAAGGTATGGAGTTAAAATTTAGAAGTCAGCAAATTAGAGGTATGTTTTAGGGAACTCTTTGGCTCTGTGAACTGGTCCAAGGTGCTCTGCTTCCTCTGCGCCCTCACTGTTGGTGCAGGGCAATGCTGTACTGTGTGGTTGCTTTCGGGCCCATGCGTTTCTGAGCTCTCTAATGTTGTTAGTGGAGGTACTGCAACATACTGCTCAGTGCAGATTATTTACCTGGCTTTTTCAGAGGGACATGTGATGTGGCATGAAGCTCAGTATCTTCTGTCTGTTTTGCCAGCTAGATTAAAGATAACTCAAGGAACTTTTACAAGCCAGTGTGAGTCACATCACCAGATCTCCCCCTACCTTTTGAACATATCTTCCTTGCTGTGATATTGCTGCTATGTGGTGTTTGCACTACTTTCCTCGAGGGAACAGAGGATTTGGTGAAGGGGAGGGAGCTCCTTTTTTCACTGGCAAACCTCTTGTAACACAAAGAAAGAAGTTGGTTAAAAAGGCAGCATTGTAAGAAGCACGCTTCATGCAGGAGAAATCATTACCAGGGATGACAGACTTGACAGAGACAGGCTGGATGCTATGCAGCCATTGGGAATATCTGTGGCTGTAATAAATGACAATATATGTTTGGGAAGAGAGCTCAAATCTCAGACCTCACCACTCCCCAAACTCTATTGGGGACAAACTGGGCTACGTTTGCCTACACTTTGGCTTCTCTGGCCTATCTACTGGTGTTGCTAGCCCATGTTGCTGAGAGGAGACTGGATTTCAGCAGCCACAGCTCAGCTGCAGAAGATGTTAGCTCTTGTCTATGAATGTAGTCCTTCCCTGTGAGATGCTGATGTTGCAAGACACGGTAGAGTATCAGTGGACTAGAGATCCTCCCTGTGAAACAGCAGGGTGCACTAACGCTCATGTAACTACATGGCTGCTCGCTAACCCTCTGTGGAGCCTGGTGTGTTTCTGCCATGGCAGAGCAGAGACCTTTCCATGCGCTTGCTTGCCAAGTAGCATCACTTCCTTCCCTTGTTTTGAGACAGCAGTTCAGATAGAGAAACATTGCCTGCCCTGCTGTTTGTCTTTGGTGCAAAGCCGCCCTGCTGCTTGCACATGTGCCTGTCCCTCCCAGCACACGGGGGTTTGCTAATGGAATTTGGAGG